GTTTGGATAGCAGGCGGGTTCAATTTTGACCCTCCGGTTTTCTGATTTTAGGTTCGACCATAGGCAGATGTTTTTGTCGGTAATTGTCTGAGTAGTTCTCAGCCGAAGCCGGGTAATGGCCCTTGTATCTCACGGCATCTCACATTTGGTTCCTAGGCTAGTAATTGCTCACCAATCATGATCCTATTCTCAGCCGAAGTCAGGTAATGGCCCCGGTATCTCAAGCTCTTTTGTATATGTTCTCAAATATGTTTCAAGTGGGACGCTGGGCCCGGTTCCCAGCACGTGCGGCTCCCACAAATAGATTGGAGCATTGCTGTTTAAAAAAAAAAAAAAAAAAAGAGGTAAAGCCTCCGAACATTACTTACACACAAACATGCTCACACACGGGCCAACAGGCTTGAGTGTGCTGTGTCTGCTGGCACATCTTTTCGTGTGCAACTGCACATCAAGCAGGCAGATGCTCGAACGGTCACTTGACATTCTTGCAGGTTGCAGGTACAGCGTGCAGAGATGGTGCAATCGAACAGTGACTCAATCTCGCTCCGGTTACCAATTTGCGCTGAGTCCTCTCCGTCCCACAGACCACTCTTAGTATGACATCCGTTACTCATGGCTACTTCCTACATTCAACGCGACTGCCTACTTCACAATCAGACATTCGTTCGCATCGCCACCATTTGTCTCATTCCTGCCTAATTCACAATCCGACCTTCATTTGCATTTATCAAGCATTCATCCCCGTTTGTCTCACTCATGTCCGGACACTCATTCGCATTCAGTCAACGCTTTGACCCTAGGACATCCGACTTGTCATTGCGCATCCCTCCATCATGGAGCATATGTTCATCGAACTTCATTCCGACCATACACAAAGATGGGCAAGAGGGACGCTGGACCCGGTTTCGAGCAGGTGCTGCTCCCCACCAATAGCTTGGCGCCGTTACTAAAAAAAAAAAGAAAAAAAAAAAGAAGAAAAAAAAAAAAAAGACAAAAAGAGGTCACAACCCCCGTTCACCTAGACTGAACAAGAGGGACACGACACACAACAGGACTGGGGTTGATAGGAAGAAGATCCTCCGAAATATCTTAAGAGAGAAAGATAGTAAAGCTCAAGCTGAAGCGAAAGATAATCGTGAAGATCATTGCGTAGCGTCCTAGCCACACATCCTGGCAGATGTGTGGGCCCTTCATGGCGCTAGCTAGGCTTGTTTTTCCAGCTATAATTTCTTTTACGGTTTTACCCTCTTCCAACAAAACATAATGGTGTAGTTTGAATATATGCATCGCGTCTGAAGATCGAACTTCATATACACGAGTCTGTCAGGGTCCCATCTCACGTCTACTCTACAGTTCTGCCTGTGGTGCAGCAGTAAAGTGCTGAATCAGATCTGCTACCACAGCTTATGCCCCCTCACTCCTCAGCCGTCCATTCCTGCCTTCGCATGAGCCTCATGCTCTGGGCTGCAAGACTAGAAAGGACCAGCACCCACTGGCACAATGAGATAGCGATGAGCCTGGTTGCAATGCTGGCAAAGTTTATGGTTACATAGCAATGACACCGGGTCAACATAGCACCCACCATAGCACTCGCAAAGCCCATAACACCCACATGGCACCCAAATAGCACTTAAATAGCACACACCTAGCACCTACAAAGTACCCACATAGCACCTAGATAGCATCAACGTAGCATTCAACATAACACCAGCATAGCACCAACATAGAACCAAGATAGCACCAACAAAGCACCAACATAGCACCGACACATAGCACCTAGATAGCACCAACATAGCACCAAACATAGCACAAACATAGTATCCAACATAGCACCAACATAGCACCGACATAGCACCAACATAGCACCAACATAGCACCAAACATAGCACCAAACATAGCACCAANGCACCAAACATAGCACCAAACATAGCACCAAACATAGTATCCAACATAGCACCAACATAGCACCGACATAGCACCAACATAGCACCAACATAGCATCAACATAGCACCGACACACAGCACCTAGATAGCACCAACATACCAAACATATCATCCAACATATCAATCAACATAGCACCAACATAGCACCAACATAGCACCCAGATAGCACCGACATATCACCGACACATAGCACATAGCACCAAACATAGCATCCAACATAGCACCAACATAGCATGAATGTAGCACCGACATAGCACCGACATAGCACCGACATAGCACTGACATAGCACCAACATAACATCAACATAGCACCAACATAGCGCCGACATAGCACCAACATAGTGCTGACGGCTGCACGTCTCAGTGAAGAACACAACCAGCTGTCTGCAATTGCAGTTGCTGTCTGCCTGTCCAGGTGCAGTCTGACCCTCTGACAGAGATGTTTACACAAGCAAAATGAAGTTCAGGGCCATTCTGGTCCGTCTGTACATCCAGGTGCATTCTGAGAGAGATGTTTGCAGAAGCCCAATGAAGCACAGAACCATTTTGTGAAAATTCAGGTGCACTCTGATGGTGCGCAGAGCCCTTCCGGTCTGCCTGCAAGTCCAGGTGCAATGCATGCTGACAGAGGAGTTTGCCCAAACAAAGTGACGTACTAGTATAAAGCAAGTCTCTTTAGAACCCCTTGCTTGTAAGCAATTTGTACCCCTCAATGCCCTCATTGAAAAATATCAATAGGAGAGACATCCCCGACAGGTTATGTCAAGTCTCACCAACACAAAAATATTAAAAGTTTAAATCCTCCATTCCGTACCATCGTAGATGCATCCACTAGGTTTTCAGGACTTGTCTCTCTATGGATTTCATAGAATACAAAAAAAAAAAAAAAAAAAAAAAAAAAACACACGCACACACACACAAGCAACAACTTTGCTAAGTTTGCTTTGAGACACTGTATTTGTACTTGCCTTGGGCACTGGGCCTGTATTTTTTTATTTTATTTATTTATTTATTTATTTTTTTGTTAAAGAAAACAAAAACTGTGCAGTACAGAATCTACTACAGATGCATAGTATGCATACGCCTCTTCCCCATTGTTGATGAAATTTTTAATTTGTCAGTGCTCTCCTGAGAAATCAGCCGTCAGAAATCAACCTTAAAATCAACCTTAAAATCAACCCTAGAATGAAGTTCAATAAAGTTGAATAAAGTTAATAAACCCAAAAGTTGGCCAAAACGTAAAAGTTGCCTCTAAATCCCCAACGTGTAATCATCGGTAGAATCCACCCTAAAACCGGCACAGTAATAAATTCTTGGGGGCTGGGAACTACTGTGGCATGGCATTCCCTGTTTTTTTTTTTTTTTGTCTTCGGTCATAGGACTCTTTGGACTGAATTTAGGCTGTGCGTTCCTCAAAGTCTGAGTTTGACTATTCCCCCCTTCCCAACATGGAATGTGGCTGCCGTCTTTGCTTTCCCAGTGATGATAAAAAAAAGGGAAAATTTTTGAAATGCCCCCGAAGTTTGCGTTTATTTGCGGCGTGCCCTTGTGAAGGCCGCCTTACTCTGTGGTGCCCCTCGGGCCTCTGAAATTTTCCGCAGGCCCCTGCCAGCGTGGGGCGTAACTTTCCCATATGCCCTTACTGGACCGCTGGTGGCGTTTCGTCGGTCCGTCCTTGAAATGCCCTCACGAGGGGCACACATCTTTCTGTGATGCCCTTGCCGCAGTGGCGGCAGGAGTTCAAATTCAAAGTGGTAGGCATTCCACGCGCCGCCACGAAAAAGATGCAGCAGTGAGTCTTCGAGTCCGCCGCATCGGTGATTGATGTGTTGGAGTGCATACAGCTACCGTGCGAACTGGAGCGTGCACTCCCGTGTGTGTGTGTCCATGCTCATTGCCCTCCTCCCTCCTCCATCCATGCGCATCGCCCTCCTCCCTCCTCCTCCTTCTCCGTCCTTGTCGCTCTCCTCTCTTCTCGTCCAGCCTCCATCCTCTATCCTCGTCCGAGTCCTTGTCCTCCCTACTCGTCTTCCCCTCCTCTTCCCTCGTTCCTTCCTCCTCCAACTTTCTCCTTGTCACCCCTCCCTCTCCTCCTCCTGGATTGTCGACCTCCTAACTATCACCATGGCCGTCTTCTTGGTGTCATCGCCCATGCACGTGCACGTGTCTGCATATGTGTGTGTGTGTGTGTGTGTGTGTGTGTGTGTGTGTGTGTGTGTGTGTGTGTGTGTGTGTGTGTGTGTCCATGCTCCTCCTCCCTCCTCCATACATGCTTATCGCCCTCCTTCCTCCTCCATACATGCTTATCGCCCTCCTCCCTCCTCCTCCATCCATGCTCGTCGCTCTTCTCTCTTCTCCTCCAGCCTCCATCCTCTATTGAGTCTATCCTCGTCGGCTCCGTCATCATCGTAGTCTTTGTCCTCCCTACTCCTTTCCATCCTCTTCCCTCGTTCCTCCTCTTCCCTCCTCTTCCAACTTTCTCCTCGTCACCCCTCCCTCTCCTCCTCCTGGATTGTCGACCTCCTCACTATCACCATGGCTGTCTTCTTGGCGTCATCGCCCATGCACGCGCGCGTCTGT